TATATATATTATATACGTATACACAGTATTTTAAGACTGGAGTCAGAGGGGTACCTGGGTGGCTCAGTCGTTAAGCGTCTGCCTTCGGCTTAGGTCATGGTCCCAGGGTCCTGGGATCGAGCCCCACATCAGGCTCCCTGCTCGGCGGGAAGCCTGCTTCTCCCTCTCCCACTCCCCCTGCTTGTGTTCCCTCTCTCGCTGTGTCTCTGTCAAATAAATAAATAAAATCTTAAAAAAAAAAAGACTGGAGTCAGATACATCCCTCCCAGTATCCTCTCTGCTGCGACTTGCTGTGCACCCTCAAGTCACTTTCCCTCTCTGATTCCAGGCTGTGACGTGCAGAAGTCACAGCACACACTCGGGCCTCTCACAAAGAGTGGACACAAGGAAGGACCACGTGTCACTCATTCACCAACAGGAGCAGTGGTTAGTCCATTTGGGAGAAGAGGAAGCTGAAGCTGGAACAGAAACTGTTTGGCTAAGTTGCCAGCCAGACGGTACTGTGCCCATGGCTACTTTCTGGGATGCAGTCCAAGTTGCGTGTAGGTGACTGCTGGGAGGTCCCTTATGCCAGGGGACACTGAAACCAGAGGGCAGGCTCTGAGCTGACCGCCCCCTCACTGCTTTCGCTGGGATCTGTGTGGGCAGCCACCTCTGAGAGTTCCCCAGTGTCTCCGCTTTTTGCTCTTCCTGGCCCTGTGAGATCCCTGCCCTCGTGTGCCTGGCCATGGTGAAGGGATGTCGCTTCTGTGATCAGGTCTCAAACAATTCTGACATTGCAGACTCTCTTGCTGGCTCTGATGAAGCATGCTGTCACGTTGGGGAGGGCCCTCCCGCCAACGGTCCCAAAGGAACTGGGTGCCACCAACAGCCAGTGAATGGGCTTGGAAGCAGATCCTTCCCTAGAGGAACCCTCAAAGGCACCCCCATAACTGGCTGGCCTCCTGACAGTGGCATTCTGAGAGGGCGTGAAACAGAGGACCCAGCTAAGGGATAAGAAACGTGTGTTGTCTGAAGTGGCCACCTTTGGGGTCACTTGTTAGACAGCAATAGCTAACAAATATAACCTGCCTTCTGTCTCAGGCAGGGCATTCCGGGGTATCGCTTAAATTGGGTGACATTTAGCGAGTGCCATCTGCATAGGCTGCACCGGGCGCCTTCCGCGCGGCGGCCGCTAGAGGCCCCCGGGTCCACCGCGCAGTCAGCCCCCCGGGACCGCCCCTCCGGCCTGCCGGCCAGCCCCGCCCCCGGCCCCGCCCCGGCCCCACCCCCGGCCCAGAAGGCCTCGCAGGGACAAGGCCCGCGCGTCGCGAGCCGAGTCCCGGCGCGCGTTACAGCCGCAGCATGAGCGCCCCCGCCGCGCCCCCCATCTTCGCCCCCGGCGAGAACTGCAGCCCCGCGTGGCAGGCGGCGCCCGCGGCCTACGACGCGGCGGACATGCACCTGCAGATCCTCGGCAAGCCGGTGATGGAACGCTGGGAGACCCCCTACATGCACGCGTTGGCGGCCGCCGCCTCCTCCAAAGGTAGCCGGGCGCGCAGGGGTAAACTGAGGCCGAAGGTCGCTCAGATCCGGGGTCCAGCCCGCTCTCCAGCTGAGGTGCACCCGAGCCTCCCGTGCCTCTGTTTTCCCGCCTGCAAAATGAGGCTAGCGGGGGGCAACGGGGAAATAAAAGTGGGTGCTGCAGGCAGGGGCTTGCACACAGCAGGCGCCTCTTAAGTATCGGAACTTCCTATCCAGGGGTAACGGGCCCCCACCCCGCAGATGGGGACAGGCTCTCCGACGATGACCTCGCGTGGAGCTCGACCGCTATCCCCGCATGAGGCCGGGGAGGTGGTGTCGGCCCGAGCGGGGGGCGCTGCCCAGGCACACGCGGGAAATGTTCCTGCCCCGGAGTCCCCGGAAGCCCCGCCCGGGCTAAGAATAGCTCCGGGAAAGCTGAGGCTGGGTAACAGCTGTAGGGGTGGCCCTGTGCCTAGGTCAGAGCCTGCGGGGTGCCCCAGGGGCGGGGCAGAGGTCCTCCCGGCGGCCGAGTTTCTACCTGGCCAATGAGCGTACCCAGCGTCCCTGCATAGTTGGGGTGTCCCCCTCGCCTGTCTTTGGGCCAGTGGGAACCCACCTCCTTCCCAGGTGTTCCAGGCCCCAGGCCTCAAACCCACCCCCCGTTTCATTGTAGCAAGGAGGGTGGAGAGAAGTAACCAACTCAAGAGATAAGCACCACCAGGGCTCAAAGTCCAGGGTCTGACCTCCCCACCGGGGCCAGGCCTCAAATCAGCTGCCCACACGTCCCTGGCCAGAGCCCACGCCGTTCCTGCTCAGGGCTACTGTGTTCCAAACCACCCTCCGCCTCCGCCCCACTTGTGCCCTCCCGGCCTTGCGGCAAACGTCTCTCTGCAAAGGCCCTGTCCCTTGCGCTTCCTCCTCCAGGCAGCTGCCCAGCCCCAGCCTGGCGTGTGATACTGGGTTCTTTGTGTGACCAGGGGGCCGGGTGCTGGAGGTGGGCTTTGGCATGGCGATCGCGGCCTCCAAGGTGCAGGAGGCCCCCATCGATGAGCACTGGATCATTGAGTGCAATGACAGCGTCTTCCAGAGGCTCCAGGACTGGGCCCAGCGGCAGCCACACAAGGTGCCCACCTCTGCCTGCCCTGCCCTCCGGGGGCGGGGCTGGAGCCACCAAGATGGAGGAAGTGGTCTTCTCCCCTGGGAACTCCTCTGCCCTCTCCCTTACAGCAGGTGGGGAGAGCCTGGACACCTGGGACCCTCAACCTTCTCTTTTCTCCCGGGCCCCTAGGTGGTTCCCTTGAAAGGCCTGTGGGAGGACGTAACACCTACCCTGCCAGATGGCCACTTTGATGGTGAGGGGGGCGCTGGGAGCTGGGGGAGGGGGAGCCTCTGCCTGAGTTTCCACCACTAGCCCCCGTCCTTGGCTTGCAGAGGGACCTTGTAGGGAACACACAGCAGTGCTGCACTGGGGG